GAATATTTAGCTTTATAGGACCCATTCTCTGCCAGGAAGTTCTTTTTCATGTTTAACCAAGATTCTTCACATTTCTGCGTCTGGTCTGTATAGTACGTGAGATTCAGCTGCTTCTTCATGGCATTATGCATGAAAGCGAATGGCCACGCTTTATCTTGATTTTCTTGGTATTCCTTTCAGCAGAGATATTTGGTTGTTATTTCTTCTTCATTGATGGAAAACACACACACACACAAAGCTTAGCAATTTCTCTAAATGCAAAAGAGGAGGAAGATAATTCTAGCTTAACAATATAATTGCCTTTGAAGCCACAATGTCTATTACCTCTTAGAAAATGTTCCCACGATGAAGTTGCCTTATAAAAAGAAATGACCCTAGTAAAAAGCCCCCGTTTTTTCAACACTATGATTAGCTGCTGGATTCTGGAACTCCATGTGGTGACCTTAAAGACGCCCTTAAAGTGCTCTTAGGGCGACTGGAGAAGCGCTCATCTCCAGCCGTTCCTTCCACAGTTACTTAGGAGACCAGTTGGAGAAGTAAAAGATGTGTCTGATAATGAGACTTCTCCTTTCCACTAGAAACAAACACTTTATATAACATTTAACAAACTAGTTAAACAGTTAAGGTGCCATCTCTGTTTACTATGAAGAATGTAGAAAACGATAGAAAAAAACTGAGGTAGTGCCCTGGCCGGTTTGGCTCAGTGGTTGGAGCGTTGGCCTGTGATCCCCAGAGACCCGGGTTCGGTTCCCACTAAGGGCACGTACCTCGGTTGCAGTTTGTCCCCGGCCCTGGTTGGGTTGTGCAGGTGGCAACTTCTCGATGTGTCCCTTTCACGTCGATGTTTCTCTCTTTCTCTCTCCCTCCCACTCTATCTGAACAAAATATCAAAGGGTGTCCTCGGGTGAGGATAAAAAACAAACAAACAAAAAACCCCCAAAAAACGGAGGTAGCAAACTTTTAGGTAAGTGGCCAGTTCTAACACTTTGACAGAATCCTGCAAAATAGAAAGGAGGCAATTGCACTGTCAAATATTCTTTTGCTACCATCTGGCATTCAGAACACTCAGGTTTGTATTTGATCCTCCCTATTACTGTCTTCCCAGTGAGTAGTACACTTTCTACAGTCCTGCTTGCTAAAGACTACAACGGTTCTCACAGCCAACTCGGGGCTTTGCAGGGTGGCAAGAGGCGACAGAGAGAAGGCCTGGAGATCATCTTCTGTTGCTGCCAATGACCGTGACCAATAAGGTCAACAATTTATGATCTTTCAGCCCCAGCCTCTATAAAGCTTGGGGACCAAGAACAGGAGGTACTGACTCCTTGAAAGGCCAACCTACTATCTCCTCAAGAGGATCAAATATATACCAGGTGGGGTGAGAGCCTTGAGAACATGTCTGTGTGACACGCGGTGGTTATTCTGACTGATCTGAAGCCGTGACAATTCTGTCGCTTCATCACGACATAGAAACTCTTTCTCTTTATACCATAACAATTCTCACTCTTCATCACAACACAGTTGTAATAATGACCTAAGTCTTCTGTAGAATAGGATTGTCATTCCAAAATATTAATTTTTATTAATGGATATTTGAATTCTGTAAATCAGGTGTTATTTTAGAGCAAACATTTGTAGAAACAAACAAACAAACAAACAAACCCAAACAAACAGTACACTGTAGGAGAAAATAAAATGTCTATTTAAAAAACGGTCCCAGTATCTATCATAAAAGAGTGTGAGGATGGGGTGCACCGGGATTCTTATTGGACACTGGAGTCACATGTGCTATTGTTGTGACATTGGGGGGCAATAAATGACTTGATATTCCAGAGTATTTGACAAGAAAGAAAAAAGAGATTAAAGCCAACAATCTATGATCTTTCAGCCCCATAGAGTAATAGATGGCACTGTTAAATCCAAAATTTTAGTATAATTGAAAACTATTTTTAATCCTCACTCGAGGATATTTTCCCATTGATTTTCGGATACAGTGGGAGGAAAGGAAGGAAGGAGAGAGAGAGAGAAACCTCATGTGAGAGAGACACATCGACTGGTTGCCTCCCGGGGATTGATCCTTGACCCAGGGCCAATGCTCTAACTGCTGAGCCAAACCAGCCCAGGTTGAAAACTGTTTTTAGTATCACAAGGGCCGGTTTGGCTCAGCAGTTAGAGCGTTGAACCTCCGACCAAAGAGTCGCGGTTCGATACCGGTCAAGGGCACGTACCTCGGTTGCAATTTGGCCCTGGTCAGGGTCGTGGGGGAGGCAGTTTGTTGATGTGTCTCTTTCACATCGATGTTTTTCTCTCTCTCTCTCTCTCTCCCCCCCCACACACCTCCCTCCCACTGTATCTGAAGATAAATAGAAAAAAAAAATTCTCAGTGAGGATTAAAAATAAAAAAATAACATCACAAAGAAACAAGTCCAAGTGGCTGGGAATCTTGCTTTCGCCAAGTTCAACCCAGCCCCTTTGTTTAAATGAAGAGTAGTCTGGCTCCCTGCCAAGCTGTGAAGCTTGAGAATAGGGGGAAGTTCAGAAACAGAATGGCAGGATTGCGTCTGCTGGACTTGCAAGTTCCTTGGCTCCACTGGGATCAGTACTTTGTAGTTTGGCTGTTGCCCTGACAGCTGGAAGAGAACAGGTAACGGTGGGGGGACTGGGGATGTGCTCCCGAGAGAAAAAGCAGAGAGATGAGTGAGGAGACTTAACCGAAAGAGGTACAGTAGCACTTATGCCAGGAAACCTGCCAACTAATGAGACCAGCAAGAGGTCACAATATTGCCTTTATATTTCTTTAAATATTGCTCTCTGGTTTCTACAATAATCCATATTCTATGTGAAAATAAGAAAAAGCTCCATAAAAGTACAGAAAAATATTTAATATCAGATCACTCATAAATTTATCACCCAAAGATAACAATTGACAACATTTTCAAATACTTTCCCTCTAAACATACATTTTAAAATAAAAATTTGCTTCCTATGGTATAAAATAATTTATAGTCCAATGTTTTTCCCTTTGTACAATAGTTACATTAAACATTCCGGACATAAGAAAACACGTATTGAAGCCCAAGTCCACGCTTCTGTCCAGAGGATGGAAAGACCACTTTTGGTTTGGATGATCTGGAAGATTTCATAAGTGAGAGGCCACTTGGGCAGGGCCCTTAAGGATGGTAAGGTTCTGATAGGCACAGACAAGGAAGGCATGCGTTTTAGGTGGAAGAAAGCGGCTGAACTATTTGTGAAGGTGGAGAGATCCACAGGAATACAGAAATTCGGCTGACACTCAGGGAGCTCTGGGAAGTGAGAATGGAATTTGACTGCTGACCTCAAGGCTGTGAACAGGAAGAGGAATAACAAGAAGCAAGAAGTTCCCAACAAAAAAAGGTAAACAAGGGCCTTTAAAAGTTGGTGACTGGCTCATCAGCGGTAACTTTGAGAGAGGATAACTTTCCAGCTCAGTGGTGGAGGCAAAAGCCAGGAAATAGAGGTTTGCAAAGACTGTTTCTTACACTAAGAATCAGACTATGAAAGAAAGAACACTGGCCTAGTGGCACTGAGGTTGTCAGAACAGCAATAATCCCAGTTTTTTCCAAGATGGCAAACTAGGAAGGCTTCATATTAGAGGAATCCCCTCTGAGACAGAAGGAAAGAAGCACTGATCTATAGAAAGGAAAAGACAGGTGAGGTGCTCGCTCTCAATGATCTTTATTTTCTTAGCGGAGAGGAGTGATCACCAGAGAAGAGCAAGGGGGCGGGGACTCGGGGGGAACTCAGCAGCAGAAGTGGAGCAAGGCTGCAGAGCAACACTGGGTTTCCAGTTCAGTTTGGATAGCATGACTTTGTAGCTGGGCATGTTAATGGAGTCATACGATCTTCCCCAGAACACTCTAATCCCAAGGGCACCATCTCTAAATGACATGGTGGAGGAATCCAGGACTGGGCACTGGCTGAAGGTCATGCAGAAGTCAGGATATTTATGAGAGCAGCAGTCGGTGGTTGACCATTGCCATTGTAAATGAGTTGGCCAGGGAATGGAAGGAGGCTTAAAGGGACCTACTAGCTGGGGTACAGTGGGATGGAAGACAGAGTGACTGGTTAAAGTATAGAATGTAGGTACCCTGGAGGTGGGTTCTATTATTATGATCATCATCTGTGGTGGTGGGGTGGAAGGGGCAGTAGTCTAAACTGCTTCAATGTATTTCTGCGTGTACATGTAAGGCACTACGCAGCCCAGAAACATGAAGTATGAGGAACAAATCAGTTGGCTGAAATAAATAAAGAGAGTCTGATTTTGATAATTTGTTCTTCTAATTTCTGGATAAAACAGAATGAAAAACACACTGGAAAATGCATCAGTCCTAAAAAAAAATCTGACAGCTGAGTCTCCTACAAGAGTGGAGACTGGGGGACTGTAACTCAGGAAGGTTTGGCTGGCAGCCACCTGGCAGTGAATTTGCTGTACACGGAAAGGAATGGCTCAGGTTAACGAAGCAGCTTAAATTACTGAAAGGCATTCAGGTTACAAACTATGTGGGGGGGGGGTGGTATGCCAGGCACAGAAAAAGGGTGTCTCTCACAGAAAATGTACAAGGAAAGTGTGTAGGGAATATCAAAACATAAACAGACCATTTATACCAGGAATGAGTTCGGCTTTCTTTCCCAGTCACCTGTAAAGCTGAAACACTGCATGGCACATGTCAAAACTAGCAGCTATAAATGTGCAAATGCATAAACAGAGCTTTGAATTTTAATTATGCAATATATTGGAATGTTAATAAGCAAGAAAATGCAGTAGGCTTTTTTTAAACTTACAGAATTAGAGTTAATCACTTGTATGCTGCAATTTAATGTATGATGAAGATCAAGACTTTAAAGTTAAAAGCTGTTACCAAATCTCTTACTCTAAAACCTAGGTGTAATAAATATTTTACACTAGGAGTTAAAGGGGAGAAAGCAACTACAGCATTAACAAAAAGAGAAAAAAAATGCAATACCTCTGGATTCATTATTCCTTCCTTTTTAAAACAGCTGTAAAACATGTCCATGGAAAACACTTCACTCCAAAGATATCCATAATATTGGCCATCATATCCCCCTGCCAAATGTCCAAAAGTAGCTGGCATGTTTGTGCCTTTAAGGAAAGATACATTTCAATCAATGTGATGGCAAACGTTAATTACCAGGTTATCAGCTAGCTAAGGTTTCCCTACAGGGAGTCCTGCTGTGGGAGGAGAGATAGGATTTCACCTCCAGTACACCCTGGGTTTCTTTGTGCCCTTGGTCAAGATGTTTACAAACTTCTCACCTGTGATGGCTCAACCTCAGAGCTGGTTTCGGCCCTAAGCTCTGGAATGTCTCACAATAGTTTCAGAGGCTTTGTCCACACCCATAGATAGCTCAGTGTATATGTGTTTTAGCTCAGTGTATATGTGTTTTACATATCCTCTAATATTAAGCCTATTCTTTTGCTTTGTTAATCCTTACCCAAGGATATTTTTTCCCATTGATTTTTAGAGAAAGTGAAAGGGGGAGTGGGAAGGAGAAGAGAGAGAGAGAGAGAGAGAAAGAGAGAGAGAGAGAGAGAGAGAGAAACCATGGATGTGAGAGAGACACATTAATTGGTTGCCTCCCACTTGCTAGGGCCAAGGATCAAGCCTGCAACCCAGGTAGGTGCCCTTGACCAGGAATCGAACCTGTGACCCTTTGGTCCATGGCTGATGCTCTAACCACCGAGCAAAATGGCCACGGCTTAAGCCTATTCTTTGTCACACATCTTTATATGCAAAATGTGAATGACACTTATTTTAGGTTGATAATTATAAAACACAAACTCTTTACTTGAAAAGCTAAAAAGGTTTTACCAATTCATTCTATCTCTAGGTCTTCTTTAAAAAGGATTTTGTTGGCCCTGGCCGGTTTGGATCCGCGGTTAGAGTGTTGGCCAGAGAGACCCAGGTTCAGTTCCCGCTAAGGACATGTACTTCGGTTGTAGTTTGTCCCCGGCCCTGGTTGGGTCATGCGGGAGGCAGCCACTCGATGTGTCCCTTTCACGTCGATGTTTCTCTCTCTTCCTCTCTCTCCCTCCCACTCTATCTAAAAATAAATAAATAAATAAAAAGGATTTTGGCCCTGGCTGGTTTTGCTCAGCGGTTAGAGCATTGGCCTGCAGTCTAGAGAGACCTGGGTTCGGTTCCCACTAAGGGCGCGTGCCTCGGTTGCAGCTTGTCCCCAGCCCTGGTTGGTCATGCGGGTGGCGGCCACTTGATGTTTCCCTTTCACGTCGATGTTTCTCTCTCTCTCTCTCTTCCTCGCTCTCTCTCCCACTCTATCTGAACAAAAAATGGAAAAATGTCCTCTGGTGAGGATTAAAAAAAAAAAAAAGATTTTGTTGCCTGGCTCACTGGTTGAGCGTTGACCCATGCACTAAGAGGTTGCAAGTTCAATTCCCAGTCAGGGCACATGGCCAGGTTGTGGGCTACATCCTCAGTGGGGGGCATGCAGGAGGCAGCCAACTGATGTTCTCTCTCATCGATGTTTCTATCTCTCTCTCCCTTCTTCTCTCTCTAAAATCAAGAAAAGAAAAAAAAAATTTAAATAAAAAGGATTTTGTTTCCCAGCCAGTGTGGCTCAGTGGATTGAGCATCATCCCATGGACTGAGAAGTCCCAGTTCAATTCCTGGTCAGGGCATATGCCTGGGTTGCGAGTTTGATCTGATAGATGTTGATGTTGATCTCTCATCGATGCTTCTCTCTCTCTCTCCCTCTCCCTTTCTCTCTCTCTCAAATTAATAAAAGTATATTTGAAAAAATAAAATAAAATAAAAATAAAAAGGAATTTTTCAAAGTGGCCTGAGGCCCAAAGTTGCTGTTGGATCTACTATAAGCAGATCACAAAGGAAGTGAGGAGCCTAGAGGGACTCCACTGGTTATTCCGACCTTTATTATCTCTACAAAGAAGAAGGATGCACTTAAACGACAACTTATTGGTGAAAAGCAGTCTCCTTACCAACTACATATAAGTACAATCACATATGGGCTTCAGATACACAGATATAAATGTTTACACCCATGTGTGCAGCTATCCATCCACCCACGTGCATCTCCTAAGTATCAGGTTACAGATGCTAAGTCAAACTGATGCCAGTGTCAGAAAGGACGTGGAAGTTGTGCTCCTCTCTAAAACTACCCCTTCTGCTAGTTTCTTAGTGAAAGCATCGGGAAGTCCTGAGGCACAGGGGGAGGGAGGAGCCAGGTGGAGCTGCCAAACGTGAATGGCTTTCTGTGCTCTGGGGTGGAGGCCAGTTGCTCACGCCTGATTACACTAAAATGCTGCAAAAGCTGGAGCCACCTTTCCTCCAAGCACATTTGGACAGGACAACTCATAATGGGACAGAGTATGCTTAATCGAGAGTCACAGCCTCATTACAGAAATCTGAAACAAATCACATGAGGTAATCTGCCTGGCACACTCCACCTTCCCCAGCAGTGTGAGGCGTGCATCCTGTGCTACACAGGAAAGATGGACTGAGTCGAATCGTATTTACATACCTGGAGTAGCTGCAACACCTAAAATTTCTGTGCAGTGTCTGGCGTATTCACTTGCGGCGTCCAGCGACGTGTTGGTGTGGAGGGACTGATCAACTTTGCTCAAAACAATCTGGCGTAAGGTCAGGAGACCTAATAACAAGAATGTTTGGGCATGTTTTGTAGAAGAGAACTGTGTGTTCTGCTACCACAAGATCACAGATTTCAAAACTGAATGGAAGCAAAACATCTCATTTAAGATTTAAAAGTAGATGTATTCTTTTCTTGGACATAATCCCAGAGTTCAGTATTCCAATATATTAAGTGGTCTTCCCATATCAGCACTCTTGGGGTACTATTATTATTAAAAGGAAAACAGTTCTACAGAAGAAGATGCCAGCAATTCCCTATTAAGCAATTCTAATTTATTTTCCTTTTCTAAAATTACAAGTCATACCTGTGTTGACCAATCGAGAAGCAACAAGATTTTCAAGCAGATCATCCATAATAGGTCTTCCATCTTTATAATGTCTTGACAGTCTCCGAAGGGAATCGATGTCCCACACCCAATTTTCCAGCATTTGTGATGGCACTTCTACAAAGTCAGTTTCCACATTTGTTCCACTAAATCGTGCAAAATCAGTCTAGAAAGTAAACATACAGGTCTTTTTAAAAATAACAACACACTGAATGAAAAACTAATAGGTGACGAATTTTATAAACAGAATTCTCTAAAGCTTAAGTCAGAATCAGAGTCCACTGTCCCATTAAATGAACGGTTAGAAAATCTCCTATTTAAATGAAAATAAAACACAGCAGCCAACCAGCATTAAAATAACCTCCAAATACTCTATTGTACCTCTCAGATTTAGTAGAAGATACTACCTTAAAATGCGAAGCCACCCACTGCCCTGGCCAGGTAGCTCAGTTGGCTGGAGCATCATCCCACATACACCAAAGGGTTGTAGGTTTGATTCCCAGCCAGAGCACATAACTAGGTTGTGGGTTCGCTCCCCAGACAGGGTGCATGTGGAGACAACCGATAGATGTTTCTCTCTTACATCAATATTTCTCTCTCTCTAAAAATGAATAAAAAAATAAAAGTGACAGTAAATAAATAAATAAAACGAGAAGCCACGTCAGTGGGAGTTAGGGCTGTATGTTAGTTGGCAAGAGGTGTGAGATAAATGCAGCTAAATGAAAGGAGAAACAAAGAACATACTCAGAAGTTCAAGCACCACTCTGTGAATGAAAAAGGGGTGCAATAATAAATCAGTGACTGAAAGTAACCTCACAGGGTGATCTCTGTGATCTGATCATATATTCCTAACTGGGTAGTTCATGGTGGGTAGTCATGCCCCTGGCCTGTAACTTCACTAGTAAAAGGTTATCTTGGCCTTAAGCAAACCCTGCCCATTGTTTTTGTGTATCTAGGTTAATGCACCTTTGAAATGCCTCTTTTCCAGACCTCTCTGAGCATCACCATCAAGACACATAATTTTGTTAACCATCCTATAATCAAATCATAGAGATCTCCCACCTTTATCTAATCGTCCTTATTCCCTCCTTAATTCCAAATATAAAAAGAACTTTAGAACTGTCCTTTGAAGGGAACAGTTGAGATCTTGCTTCCTGGCATGTCTTCAGTTTGGCTCAAATAAACTCATAAAAATTCTTTACAGGTTTGGACGTTTCTTACGTTGACACCTCATAAAAATAAAGTCCTTCTTCTGAGGGTCTGGGCTAAGAGTTAAAAATAAGGTTTTTTTTGTTTGTTTTTTTTTAAGTAAAGTTCAGTAAATCGTTGAATCTGATGTCAGAAAAGCTCTGGATTAGATGGAAGTTCAGTAGAACAGACTAGTGTTTTTTAACCTCCACACCACCCAAGGAATTGTGTAAAATTGCCACTGGCAGAGGAGTTTCAGCATTTCCCCAGCTGGGGCACCTGGGGGTTCTCATTCTGTTGCCTTTCCCTGCACCTCTATCTTGATTCCCTCTTCAGAGGCTTTAGATCTCAGTCTCGCTCTGACTTCATCACCCCTGGTGCTCCAAAGGGAAGGGAAAGGAAGAGGGACTTAACCGCCGGAGAAGGGAGCAGATGGGATGCTGAATCAGTAGTAGCAAATAACCATTCTGCTTTTGGCCCTGGGCAGGAGCACAGATGTCAATGCCAACTCACATTCTGCCTTCCTCTCTTTATGCAAAAAAATGTTTTGCTTGACTTCCCATTATAATTATGCTGATCCTAGATATGAAGAGCTGCAAATCCTGAAGGGCCAAAGGAAACGAAAATCACTGGGTTGCTGGAATGGGCCACCTGTGTTTGAGGACATCCCAATAAAACATTCTTACAGAAAACGGAATATTTTGCCTCTTTCTCATATATAATCTTCCAAAATAACTGATCCTACATTTAGGTAAAACACACTTATACAATATTTCTAATAGCCAACATTTATTGAGACTTGACTTTGTCAGGTATTATAGTAGGTCCTTTACATGGATTATCTGATTTAAATTCCAAAACTGTATGAAGTAAATATTGCAATCTCCATTTCTGAGATAAGGAAATTGAGGTATACCGCCATTAACAGAACTAGGATTTGAAACCATGTGGTCTGACTCCAGAACCCGCATTTTTACCACAAATGCTATCATGTCTCCCTCTCTTATAGAAAAAAACAAGGAAAAAATAAATAAAAGGTTAAATTATACTGTTACAAAATGACTAAGTCTTCTTGGCAGGGATCTAAAGTAGAAAAATCATATCGAATCTGCCTTTATGTGAAGAGTAAGTGTGGTTTCAGTGTGCTTCTGTCGAAGTCTGACTTCCTCCATGTACTGGAAGATTTGTCAAAGACCAAACATGAGGCCGATGCGTCCAAGCCAGCCTTCGTAACCATCTGTTCTGGGCTTGGGATTCTGTGACACTAACTGCGGGATTTTCTAAACATTATAGTTTTTAAATAAGTACTAACAGCAAATAAAGGCAAAACCACGCCATCAGCTACCATTATACAATCTTTTGACAAAAATATAAATTTTGTATATCCTGCTTGTGTGAATATTTTTTTAGTCAGTGTGTGCAGATGGGGATGGGGGTGGGGGAATCAACCCCAAATAACAAAATGCATGTGTGTGTTGGTGGTGGTGATGGTGTTTCAGAACTTAGAAAAACATGAGCAAATGAATAAGTCATGAGTTAAAATTGAATCAAGTAAGAATTAACACAGTTATGTCATGCAGAGTAGAGAAGAGAGGGCTTATTCTATCTAAAGCCATCTTTCAGTGGGGGTGGTGGGGAGAGAGCACAGCAGATGAATGAACAGATCAACAATGTCTTCTAAAGAACAAAAGGAAATGTTTGCAAGAGTAAAAGCTAAAAATAACTCTGCTGCTTACCAATTTCCCGAAAGTCAGTCACGCTGTTTTTCTGTGTGCCCTTTGGGCAATAGCATTTAAATATTTTTCAAATGAGGAGTACAAAGAACATACAAAATTCAAAAACTCAATTTTTAGCAAACAACTAAATCTTTAAGAAGAAGGAACCCACATCAGCCACTGCCTATGTGCACACAGAAACCTCGGGCAAGTCTTAGGATCTAGCAGCCTGATGGGACCGGATGGGCAGAACAACGAGGCTGCTGAGTTATTGTTCACATCGTTGAGTAGCTAGCAAATACCACCCCCCAGTTTAAAACTGTGGGCTCTGAAGAACCCTAAAAAGTACTCACATAGTTTTCAATATAAACAATTTGAAGGTGTTGAATATAGTCACTTAGGAGCCACAGCAACTACTGATACTAATATACTTCCCAGATAAACCAGAGTATTGTAAAATAAACACACAATAATCAAATTAACTAATGATTTTTGCACAGGACACTTTAAAAAGTTTAGGGCATTATTTGCCCTGGTTGGAGTGAAGTTGGTTGAGCATCTTCCCATGAACTGAAAGGTCACTGGTTCAATTCACATTCAGGGCACATGCCCAGGTTGCAGGTGGTCCCCAGTCGGGGTGTGTACGGGAGGCAACTGATCAATAAAAGCATATTTAAAAATTTAGGACTGTACTGCTGGAGGAACTATTTTGACAATAAAAGCCTAGAAAAACAATGTAAACTTAGATTCCTGTTTGGTTAGAAGTACCTGAGAGGAAAAGAGTTGTCTAAAACTATGAAATTCTTCTTTATTACCTTTTTTTTTTTTTTATCCTCACCCGAGGATATTTTTCTATTTTTTGTACAGATAGAGTGGGAGGAAGAGAGAGAGAAACATCGACGTGAAGTGACACATCGAGTGGCTGCCACCCGCACGACCAACCAGGGCCGGGGACAAACTGCAACCAAAGTACGCGCCCTTAGCGGGAACCGAACCCGGGTCTCTCCGGACCGCAGGCCGACGCTCTAACTGCTGAGCCAAACCGGCCAGGGCTTTATTATCTTTTTAAACAGACAATAAGATGCCTAAAATATACTACTTTACAGGTTTTTATAACAGGACTTGGTGCTGTAGATAGTAACTTCTTGGCCCTGGCTGGGTAGCTCAGTTGGTTAGGGCATCATCCCCACGGGCCATGGTTACAGGTTCAATTCCTGGTCAGGGCACATACAAGAAGCAACCAATGAATGCATAAATAAGTGAAACAACAAATTGATGTTTCTCTCTCTCCCCCTTACCCTCTCTCTCTTTAAAATCAATCAGTTAAAAAAATTAAAAAGAGTAACTTCTCAATTCATACAGCACAGTGAGAGCCAGAGCAAAATGATATAAACTAAAGCTCTAAAACTCATATTAGCTTTCATTATATTTAAAGACCAAAGTCCTACGGGTTTTTTTCTAATTAAGAGACCAGTTGCTTTTAGTGGTTACAACTAAAGTGTTATTTTCATAATAGCAAATCCCAACTCAGAGAAAAGGCATTTGCTAAGATGTTTAGGAAAGTGAACAGGCCTCAGGAGAACTGACCTTGGCTGTCTGAGGTGATTCGCTATTGATTTCTTAGTGGGCATTCCATACCCTGACCTGTCTGATCTATCTCTAAATCCAGGGATGACAGAGACGTTTACATTACAAGGCATTAAAAAAAAAAAAAAAAAAAGTGCTACTGTCTCCTAGGCTTTGCCATAAATGAGAGTTAAACGTCATGCTTTCAACTTCACGTATACCCAGAAATCACTGGAATAACAGCCATAGAGAGAACCCGAATAGCACTGTTAACTTTCATATGAATCTTCACAACAGCCCATAGTTCAACAGCTCAGTATCACCACTTCACTTTAAAGGCCTGTGAAACAACGCATAATCTGTAGGAATCTTGAAAACTGCATCTTAAATTCACAGGCTTATTCCTAAACTGGCTATACCTTCCGGACTACTGCTTCTTATATTGAAATTGCTTCTTTTTAGATATAAACAAATACAATTACTCTTCAAACGCAAATGCTCAGAAGGTTGGGGAGTATGCACACGTTGTTCACCACTCCATCTCCAAACTCCAGCACATGCCCAGAATGTTGCTGATGGTCCACAAATATTTGTGAAACAAATGAAGCTGTGAGGATGTTTCTGTATGAGGACTCAACCTTAAACAGCTCTAAGAGAATTTTTACTATTATCGTGCTTGACCTGACTTCTTAGCCTC